TCGGAACAGCTCAAACGTCAGCTAGTCCACCACTACCCAGTCAATTCAGAGGGGAACAGTAGAAATGTCCCAGGCCTGTAAAACAACGCTGAACAAAATCAACTGGGAATCTTGTTCCTATTTTCAAAATAAACCCTGCTGCAAACACACAACAGGCTTGGAGTTGTGTGAAAATATGGATACTGAACATAAACAAGTACAGGAGAATGAGTGTGCATAAGTCTCAAGATTGCTGACAATACTTGTTGAAAAGTGTCGATAATACTTTGATATCTAAAAGTGTAGCCACTAACTACTTGAGCACAGAAATCCCAGCTATGGCCTTTTCCAGAAGTTCAAGGTCCAGGCTATGGAAAAAAAAGTATCACAGCAATCTGTTTCCAGCAGACCTACAGACACCCTGAAGCTGAAACCTCAGGAAGCTGCAGTATAGTGTAAACGGAAATTTTAGTCAGGAGGGGAAGGTCAGGCTGAATACTCGGGCTGCCCTGCGAGACAGGCAATTACTGCAGCAAACCTCCGAAAAATGTTGGCGAGGAGCTTATCCTGCTCAAACGAACCACAATCTCAGAGAAGAGCTGGTGTTCCAGGTACCTGTCCCGCCTGTCAGGTGAGATAAACAAGTCTTGTGAAAGCAAAGCTCTTGACAAATAGCCCTTGTGTACAAACCATTAGATAAGCCTGCCTGATCACAGACTTACAGCACACAGCAGCAGCCCAAGACGACCTGCAAACAGATTTGTTCAAACGTCTTCCTCCTCTTTCCACAGGCTGTGGAGGAAGCCCACCGCAGGGGGCTGATTTCATTCTGCTCGTTAGGTGCGGGTCCAGTCGCACAGCGTGCCACAGTGTGTCCTGCCACTCCACACAGGCGCCGGGGCCGCTGTCAAAGACGGGACAGCTCGTAAGTCAGGCAGGGAGACAGAGTCGCACTCGGCCTGCAGCCCTGCCAGTCCGGAACAAGCGGTATTCGACTGGTCTTGAAGCTTTCCCACCTTGCAGCACGATCTCGTCTGCTGAGCGGGGCCGGGCCCAGTCCGTCCGAGGACGGGAGACCCCCGCCTGGGCAGACCTGCAGGTCTCATGCCTCTGTATGACAGGGGGCACTGCACTGTGGGAGGAGCCGCCCTTCAGATGAGATGTTTGGATGAGGGCCTGGCCGCTCGGTCACTGACCCGTGACTCCGTGGCACTGTACACAACAGCGCCGTTGATCCCAGTGTCCTGGGCTAGCACAACCTGACCTCCCTGAGGCTCCCCCCCCTCCGATTCAACAGCTTCTCCCGACGAGGCAGTTCCTCTCTCCTCCCCCTGGTCTGCAGTGCACTGGGGCAGCCGTGTGTCGCCCAGGTGGAGCTGCACGTCAGTGGAGGATGAAGAGGGTCTCGGGTCTGTTAAGCACTTTGGGTTCCATAAGGATGAAGAGTGCTATTTAAATATGGTGAATTATTAAACCATAAATTATTAAGTTCAGACACGCAAAAAAAAATCCTCCAGTTTATCTGAGACACCACAAGTCAACTTAAAATATGGAAGTGCTTTACTTAACAGACGCCTAAATACAGTCAAGTTTCGTTTTTGACCATTTTTCAGCTTCCTGAGAACTAAGGGAACTATGTTTTTTTCTA